CAAAACCCCAAAACCCCAAAACCCCAAAACCCCAAAACCCCAAAACCCCATGCATCTGAGTATATATCAGTTTGAGATTATAAGAAATTTAAATTTAAATGGAGAAATTGTAATAGTAGCACCATTAAGAAACAGTGATTTTGCAAAAAGTGCCATCTAATTTTAGTTCTTCAAATATCTCAAATTCTAGATCAGCACTAAGTGAAAAAGATATATTAAGTGTTCCTATTTAAGTTTCAAATATTAACTAAGGGAATAACATTAGCATTCTAGACAAATTTACTGAAAATGAAAGAGATTTACTAAATGACTATCAAAGAAGGATCAATGAGTCCATTTAAAAGCAACAGTAAGACTATTTTCAATGATAATATATTTGTCTAGTTAGTACTTGAATATTTCAGGGGAGTATCATCAACTACCATAGAGAACATATAATAATTAGAATGTCTATTAAATATAGCAGCAACCTTAAAGAATCCTAAATCCAGTTGTGTTCAACACTTCAAATAATAGTAAAATTAATTATTTCTTAACTTATAGTAGCTACACCTTTGGGTAAAACAATTGAAAAAGATCATGAAAACAGATAACATACAATAACTTAAGGAGATGAATATGAATAAAATGGAACTTTGAAGTAAAATTTGTTCAATAACAGATTGATGATGGATTTTGCTTTTAATAGTGAGCAAAAGAATAATAGCCATCTCGATAGTGTTTTAATGGCGAATAACTCAAACTTAAATACTTTTAATATTGAACAATATGCAAGTGGAGTTGTTCCTGGAAGTACTAAGCCTAACAGAGATTTGCTAGATTTTTATCAAGCAAATTAATCTTAGAGAACTGATTAGTTATTATAGAGAAATAGCTCTTCAAAGAATATGTATGGAACAGGGACTTCAAATCTCACTGAAAAAATGAATGAATCTAAATAATATACCTATAACTATCAGCCAAATTAAGTATCAAACTTTTAATATCAGCATCACAGCCTAAAACCCTTATATCGAGATCTCAATAGCACAACTTAATTAGGTGAAAATCTGAGTTAAGATACTTTGCCTGGGCTATCACCCTTTAAGTAAAACTTTAGTGCAGGAAATATTATGTTCAAAGAAGAAACATATGATAAGAATAATAAATAGCAACATGGTTAGCTTGATAATAGAGATCTTGAAAAAGAAAATTACCTATCTCAGACTATGCAAAATATAACCTAAACTGACAATGGAGATTCTTTTACATAGGATTTTTACCCAGCAAAACAAACTAGCAAATAATCTAAAGAAAACAAAGCCCCTAAATAAACTTCTAACAGATAAAAATAGCTTAAGCCTGAGAAAAGTTAAAAGAGTAATATCAACGATCAAAATTACATCTCAAACAGATCATCAAGACCACCAGCTAAAAATTAAAGTAGTATAAAAGATAAGAAAACATTAAATAAGAAAAGTTCATTCGTTAGCAAGGATCAATAAAGCAGTAGGCAAGAAAAAGTTAGTGAATAAAAATGCTGTAATGATAGAGAATAAAAAGAGCAGAAATTCAATCAAAAAAACTCATAGCAACGAAAGCATTCACGTTACCAAGCTATCAACTAAACTCAGAAAGGTAGTAATACTTCATTCAATAAGAACTATCAAGATAAGAAAGATACTCATAGAAATTCAATTCAAAAAAGAGGTGATAAGGATCACTAGTCTCAAAGCAAATCTAAGAGCCGATAAAGAAGCAGAAGTTTTGATTTCTCGCGCAGTTTGGATAACAAGTAAAATAATGCCTTTAAAAATGCTACGAAAGTACTGAATCAAAACTTTAAGAGTAATTCATCTGTGACTAAGCTCAAGTACAGCGCCTCTAGAGAAAAGAAAAGCTAAGAAAGAGATGAGTTCATCAGAAAAATTTACTAAAACAATAACCGAAATGCTTCTTTAAATGATAAGCAAAAACAGCATTTGAGATAGTTAAGCAGTGAAAAGGAATGCAGACCAAGATCTATTACAAATTAAAGTAATAGTCACAGCTAATCAAAGATAAGAAGAGCTGATTCTGCTAAAAGAAGTGCAAGGGATGGGAATAGAATGAGCAGAGGAGCCAGTTTTGACACAAAAAATTAGAATCATGGTCAGAACAACGGAACTAGAAATAAGTAAAACAACTCAATGATAATGGCTATAAGTCAGAGCAAGAGTAAAAAGCAAAATGAGGACCTTGAAACTCATGATCATTAAATGATGATTGGAGGTGTTCTTGGGAATATTGAAAAACTCCTCCAGCTGCTTAAAGACCATTGCAAAGTATGTCCTTAGTTTGCTCTAGAGTTTGAGAAATTAAATATATGATGACTTATAATTTATAATTTTGTAATTATTAAATTTAAATGGAATCAAATAAAAAGAATCCGGCTGATTTCTTGAAGATGATAAAAGGAAGACCAGTTCTTGTCAAGCTTAATGATGGAACCCTATATAAAGGAACATTCATTTGTCTTGATGGAAATTTAAACACAGTATTGGAAAAATGTGAAGAAATAAAGGATGAAAAAGTTATAAATAAATTTGGAGATATGTTTATTAGAGGCAACAACATTTGCTATATTTCTCCAGCTGTATCTCAAGCCTAACAAAATGCCAAAATAGTAAATGAAGCAGAGGGGGATTAATTAGTTCATGCATAATGATTAATTTTAATAATGAAGTTATGAAATTAAGATTAGAAAACAAACTTCAGCATATTTTATGTTTCATTTTGGTCAATCCATTTTCTTCTCAGTAGTCTTATATACTCCATAGTTATATAACTTTGGAATCTAATAATTATTTTTTACCAATTGCTTCTATTGTTAAATTTCCATCTCTTACTGCTTTAAAATATACATTCTCTTTGCTTCTTCTTCATCCATTCCCTCATCATCTGTAACCTCCACCTCTTCCTCATAGTATTCATATTCACTATCATGCTCATGATTCTAATTACCACCCTACTTTTTCTTCTTCTTTTTAGGCTTTTCTAAAGTAATTTGATGCTCTATTACCTTATGAAGGAAAGTTAGTGAAGATTTTTCAATCTGGATAGTCTAAGTATCTTTCTAAAAAGTATCCTTCTTAACTTCTTCAGTTTAAGCATAAATATCGATTTTTTATATTTGTATCTCAACTTCAGTCTAAGCTGTTTAGTCAAACTTTGGAATAATTATTGGCTCCTCCTTTGGTATTTCTATTGTTTGGATATGCTAACTAAAAGTTTCCACTGGTATTTTGACTTCAACTTCATCTGTTTGCATCTAAAGAGACTCATATTTGGGTTTTATCTCTTCCTCAGTTTATGTTTGCTGAACTGTTTTGATTATTTCAACCTTTTTAATTTCATCTGTTTATATAGAAGCTTAGTTTTTGCTTACACTCTAAGTCTATTAATACATATCAACGCATTTTTTGATTTCAGTTTAGTTGCTATTGTCAGTCATTTTTGCTTAAACAGTTTGAAGTGCCTAAGTTCTCTATCTCACTGAATCTGTCTGAGTTTATTAATCTTGCATAGGGACATCTTTTTCTCTTTACCTTTACTATCTTCTAAATTTCATAGATAGCTCATGCAGCTTATCTAGTTTGCTCTATTCTCCAATGAATGACTCAGCCTCTGAAGTGTCAGACTTTTACTTAATATCTGGTAAGTTATAATTCTAGTTCTTCTTAATAACTGGGGTTTTAAATTCTGTCCCTTAGCCCTTAAGTTATGCTCTAAGCTTCTTGATTTCTGAGTCTTTAAGTTTTATCTATAAAGTAGCAGATTTGAGCATATCTTTTAAAACAAATATCTCCTCATCTTATTTGTAGACATGAGCTTTAAGTTCTATAAATGATTAATGCTTGTATAAAATTACAAACAGTATCCTCAGAATTGAAATCAAATTCCTTTATCTATCTACTAAGCTTTTCTTCCTAATGTCCTCCATTTTCTTTCCTATTAGGATTCATCTTAGAGTATTTCTTTTCAATCTCATTGCTTTTTTATTCAAGAAAATTAATCCTCTCTTTTAGTTGTTGAATCTGTATATTGTTAATTGATATCTCTTATTTACCTCTTTTTCTTTGATATCTGATTACTTCTCTATCCTATGATTTTCTAAATTTATTAACCTCTCTTATTACTTGAACTGCTACGCTACTCCTTCTAAATCCATCAGCTTATTATTAAGATTAAAAAGTAGTTTCTTATAGTCCTTAAGCTATTTTTGGAGGATTTGCTCAGATATTGATGCTTTTTACAATTAAATGTTAATAGATGTAAGTTCCTTTTACTGCTATCTTATTTTAGCATTGAGAGTTTAGTTACTAAGGACAGAATTTTTTCGAAGTTCATTAATATCTATGAGTTATTTATCATTAAGTGCTTTAATTTTGTTTAATTCCAACTTTAAACTTTTATTTAAGCTTATAGTTTACTCTGATTAGTTCTATATTTCTTCATGGAGAATTCTAAGTTCAAGATTCTCACTCTTAACATCTTATAATTCTATAGTTTGATATTTTAATTTCGTTCTTAGTTCATCAGATATTGACTTATTATCATTAGCTCCCTAAAAAATATTAACTCTTTAATAATACACTTAATGAGAGAATATCTAAGTCAGAGACAATGCAATTATCCATCAATTTACCAAGCTTTTATTCAAGTATATCTACATCTTGAGAATTAACAATTGCCTTCAGATTATGAACTGATTCATTTTACAAATTTTCCAGTTACACTTTAATTTATTCCATTACCAATATTTACTGTTTGAATAGTTTCTTATCAAGATCATACTTCTGCACTTCCTCTTTCATCGTTAGTTTCATTTCATCTATTTACTCATTCTTATGCTATATAACTTTATCCTGTTCCTCAAGTTTAGCTATAGATCAGCTAAAATCTCTTTCAATATGATCGATTCTATCATTCTGCTCTTAAAATTGTGACAAATCCTTTTTTAGTTATCTATGAGTAAAGCAATGACATACCAAATTAAATATTACTGAATTTGTATGAAGTAGTCAGAGACAAGATCTTTATTTTAGTTTAGTTCATCGAGCATTTGCTTATTTTCATTCTCAAGATGTTCTTTCTGCAGTTTCAAATCATTGAACTGGTTTTCTAGCCCAAGTTAATTCACAATTTTTTCATCTATTTAATCCTAAATATAAAGAAAAATAGTTCTTACTCTGTATTCAATGAGGAGCTTCTCTAAGTCCACATTTAAACTCATTATTTTACTTTTCATTGTGATATTTGGACTTGCCTATTAAGAAGCTTAGCCATTACTATTCTCAATTTGATTTTCATTTTCTTCACCAATTACAGGAATATTTATTATGCTATTATTCAATTATCTAGTTTTGCTATTTGCTTGTGAATTTATAATTCTTCTCTTATTTTTTATTCCTTATCAACTTGAAAGATGTGATCTACTCTTAATACTAGGAATTGTCGATTCACTATAGTCAGAGGTGCTTTGATTTATTAGACTAGACTTTTGATCCATTAGAGTTTTTTTAATTAATAATTTATTTATCGTAATTAGTTCAAATTCAAAAATTGAATTAAATTTTGAAATGAGGGGTTTTGGGGTTTTGGGGTTTTGGGGTTTTGGG